AGACTTGGAGGTACTGACTCTCATCCCAACCATTTCACACTCCGTTGCAAACCCGCCCCAGTACGTGCTGACGGTCACGGTCCGATGTAGCAGAACAAAACCACATCTGCAAAGATCCTAATTGTTTATCCTTCCAGCACGTACATATATCCTAGCCTTGTATGTAAACTCAGATTCACAGTATTATTTGCAACCAAAGCACCAACACAGATACACTTAGTCTGGTGCTGTCACACAAAAAATATAGTCATTTTGATGCAGAAATGGAGGGGATGCATTTAACGTTGGTATTGCCAGTCTTCAGCCTATGCCTACTGTAATGTTCATCACAAATGCATTGTGGTCTGTTGTGGTTACACTTAACACGGTTACAAATTAGCTGGAATGGAATGAAAATTTCCATTGTTGGACTTGCAGCATTCCTACAGTATGTGTTTTCTGTATTTGCAGTAGGCTTCCTTTGTTTCCATAATAATATTCCAAGCATCCTTCAGACATCTAACATCTCTACAAAAACCTGACCCAATGCATAGTGGTGGACATTTGTTGGGTCTTCATCCATTCAGGGCTCTCCATTATGGCTCTAGATGAAAGATTTAGAAACGGTGGTGTTCTCCCTCAGGCTGTAAAGCATGAAGCCTAACCGACCTCACAGCAGAAGTAATGGTCCACACCTTTAATTGTCGCAGGCTGTTCATCTTCACTAACAATAGCAGTAAGCAATGGGTCTGGGAAAGAAAGGCAGTCGTGTCTGACAAAGGAAGTGATTTAGTTCTGGAGGCAATTCATAAGCGGACGTTGCAGGGGCAGCAGTAATGTGCCGAGAGAAAGATCATGTGGGGTAAGAGGCGTAGCAGACACAATAGTGGCCCACGAGTAACGTTAGATTTTTTTCATCCTTCCATTGCAAAGATTTATCTAAAAAAAAAAAAAAAAAGAGGCAGTAAAATGTATATTGTGTGTGTCCTTCAGGGGAGCGAGAGCTTGTGTTATTGAAGTGGACATGATGCTCTCTGAATTATAGATGCTGCAATGGCTTCGAAAGTGAGTTGTACAAGATAAACTTTATCATCACGGCTGTGTCAGTCAGAAAACAAACACGTCTCATTTAAAGTATTGGACTGTAGGTGATCCTCTGGTTTTGATGCCCCTCATTATCCCATTTGATGTCAAAACATCATTTGATACTCAACTTTCAAAAGTCTGCTTTTAGTTCTGTATTTCTTTCAAAAGAGGAAAAAGCTGCTATGAAAAAGTGTGCCATTGATGGGTCACTGGCTTACTGTCAGTATTAGACATGTAAAATAAGAAAAAGACAAGTGTTGTTACCAAATTAAAGCCTGTTCCCTGTGAAAGTTGAGGCCCATTAAAATGATAGATTGCATGGTGTATGCAAAGGGACGCTTTACACCCACAAAACAGTCTAATTGCATGCATTCCTGTAAGAAGTCCACAAATGTTGAATCTAGATTCTCAGGCGTATTGGCAGCAAGCTGCTAGACAGCAGATGACTAGCTTCAAACGAGTAGCGAGGGGGAGGGATGTAAAATCTTGACAAACAGTGAGAGCCAGTGTCCACATCATCTCTCGCCCCTGACAGGCTTCACCATGCATGAATTCAAAGCTGGTAAAACCATGGCTGGATTCATTTTGATCTGACATCCATCATGTAGATCAGTGTTGTGGTTTCACTGTACTGTGTCCACGATAAGATGTTTTGACAATCGGCCCATGACATCTGTTAAAGCCAGTCAAGAGAAACTGGGACCAATTTGGCTCTTCTGTCACAAGTTATTGTTGGCTTTTGGCTTCGAGCACTTTTTATTCTTATTAGAATAGTCACACAAGTACCAAAACTATTCCTGAATGTAATTGCACTGTATGTCTAAATTGAAAAAGTTAATTTAAAAGCATACATATGAAGCTAATCATATTCATTCTTGATCATTTTTGAGGTTGCAATTCATGGTGCCCGTTGTATCAGATTGTGTGATTCTGTAATGTGTTCGGCTTTTTTTTCCTCCTATCGCTGCTGTTTCTTTGCCCTGGAGAGGGTTTGCAAATTGGAAAATTGGGTGGGACTGCAGATTTTGTTCTCCTTTTATTTGTCTGAGGGAACCAGAAAAAAAAGCCTTGCAGCGAGTTGCCGGAGGGTAAATGAGTTTTGTGTACAAGTTTAAAACCATTAATAAATAAACTACATGATGCTGCGATATTGATGATGATATAAGATACAGGCTAGTATAAAGAGACGGGGGGCTCTTTGATGGTTACCACTGCATAGGAAGAAAAAACAGCCCTTCTCTCTACTCTCTTAATTCTGACAGTGATATTTAACCATGCAGTGATTTAGTTAATAGCATTGTTCGGATCGGCTTAGAATATAAGTCTCATAGCTCAGTTATAGAATTACAGATAAACTACCCACAGTATTCCTGCACCAGCTTGCATGGCTCAAGCATGGCGGCATGTGTGTGGAAGGCGTTAGGCAGATGGGATATGTCTGTTATCTCTCACTCAACATAATGAGACGCGAATGCGCTTCACCAATCTTAGGGCCCGTCTGATGGCAAGAGACACGGTGCCCACTCGTACGGGAGGGATCTCTCCCCTCTTCAAAGATAATGAGATGACAATGTATTCAACTATCATTAGATAGAGACAGGGTTTTGGGGGGGGGGGGGGAGGACTGGGGGAGAAACATTCTACAGCACTTGTCTGCAGCCTTTGATCAGACGAGAAAAGCAACTGTCACTCTTTGTATCAGTGCTGGTCTCATGAAAGTGCAGCTAACTACTTTATCACTGTAACTGAAAAGCTGTAGTTTGTGTAGTTCCTCAAGCAGGTGATTTCTCAAGCTCACCTGGATTGTAAGCCCAACAGGAACACACATCTATATGGTTGCTGTCCTGCTGCCTGTGTGATATGTTTAATCTTTGTCACTCTCTGAATTCAGTCTCTTAAAAAAAAAAAAACACTTGCTGTGTGACATTACCGTCACCTGGGAAGAGAAGACACAACATTTTGCCTGACATGGCAATCCATTGCAAGATGTCAAAAGTGCCATGTTAAAGGGCTTATTGAAGCAGGCTCGACGAGACAATCTTATTCTAAGTTGACAGTTTGTTGTGGCACTTGTAGAGGGATCCATCTTGCCTTTTGTTCCCATGGTGAAGATGATCCCTCGCATGCTGTTTTTTTTAATTCTCAGTCTTTCTTATAATACAGTGTTTTGACAAATAAACCACCCAAATCCATTTTTTACAGGCATTCTTCAGTGAGCATTAGGCCAACTGATCTGCGTTGAAGTTCTGAGACTGTACTTTGACAATTATGCAGCGTTATCATTTATCTGGCAGAGGAAAATGTGTTTGGTGAAATCCAAAAATCTGTGCCTGTAAAATGCTGTAACATCTTTGCACTGCAATGATTTGTAATTTTATTTAGACTTTTAACCTTTATATATTATATGTTATAGAAGAAAGCAACCTGGTATACATACGGTATGTCTTCACAATCAATATGGTACATTGTTTGCAACTTACACTGTGCTGTTGCATCTTTTTCTCATCACTTCCCATCTCTGTTCACTGTCAAAGAAAAAAAGGATAATAAAATATGAGTGAGAGCTGCTCCCTCGCTCCTACAAAAAAAAAGGCTCGGCGCAGAGCTCAAAAATAGAACAATCATTTGTCACGGAATTATGAGAGATTGTTCAAACTTTTGCGACGCCAAAATCCCTTTAAAACCTGACAATCATCTCTCAATTCAGGACTTTTCTTCCTCGTAGGTTCTGTGCTTTCCTTAACTCAGTAAGATGCTCAGTTGAAAGTAAGAGAAGGAGACGCCTTAACATCCAATTTCCCAACATTTCATCATCGTGTCTCAATAATTATGCAGGGTTATTAGCTCAAGTATTTGTCCTTGGCATTCTTAATGCCAGTTGACATTTATTATGAACAGTAATGATATTGGAAATCTTTGATTCGCCGTTCGCGGTGGTAAGTGTGGTTTGGCGTGTTCTCTGCAGTGCAACAGCACCCTCTCTTGATAATTTATGATATCATTACATCACCATGGAGGAGCTGTATGAGAGTGTGGGAAACTGGTGAAATATATACTTGAACTCAAAACTGCTAAAATGAACTAAGCTGAGCTCTCACTAACAAAACCAAAATGGATAAATGCAAAGCTAAATACTTGTATTACTAAGTTCCTGTAGGAGGAGTCGACGATGTAAATTTGTGTTGGAAACCTCTGCACTAAAAAGCCCTTAATCCTATTCCCACTTTCTGTTTTGTTCTGTATTTCGTACTACACTGCACTGAATGGACAATATCCAGATCTCATTTATCACAAACCTTAATACCCATTATCTTAAATCATCGGTTTAGCTTTGTCTCTCTCTCCTTTTTTGTAACGTTTCTGGGTTAAAAAGGGGTTCAACACTTATTCATTATTTGGGGATTTGGCTTTTTTCTGGTGTGATTTAAAAATATTTCAGGCAAGAAGGAACTGTTTTGTGATGATTAATATGGATTAATACATAAATTACATATAAAATATAGAGAAGTATCATTTAGTCAGCATGTCGAATTCTTGGGATTCAATTTAAAGAGGAACTGAAGACCTTCTTTTAATGATATGTTTTATTGTATTTAGGTCATGTTAAATACCTAAAAGTGTTAAATAAAAGGATCCAAAGGATTATCATGAAATGTTTGTAACATCTGAGTTGTTCAGCTAGCTAGAGTGAAGTCAGTGCTGCACCACCTTACTTTTAAATTATCAGTATTACTTAAAACAACAGTCAAATAACTCTAGTGAAAGTGTAACCTTTACCATTGTTAGGTTGTATGGTAACATAAAGCACTTTTCCTATGGCCCTTTCATCCACATCAGGCTTGGAAACCTTGTGACTTTGAGGTATGCGCTTATCATGTGACGCTGACTGGCTCAGTGTTTAGGTCATGGGGTGTTTTTAAACTATGGGTGGCAACTAGACTGTCTAACAGATATAGAATTTGAGATTGAGCAAAACTGAGCTACCGTCAGGAGAATAATCTAATGATGCACATTTGCAACAAATTATACACAGCTATTTTCCACAGATATTACACTAAGCCTTTGAATTAATACGACAGATATAAAGTGAGATATACTGTAAATTCTACATGCTAGGGTGTTCAGTAACATTATGCTCTGAACAGGTGAACTCAGGGGAAAGCTATTATCCTTTATTGATCTCCATTATATGATCTGACAGAAGGAGATGCAGATAAACAGAAACAGAAAGTTGGAGAAGGAGATTAATCTTCACACGGTCGGAGATACGGATTGAGTAAAAGAAAAAAAAAAAAAAAGCTATTCCTCAAAATGAAAAAGATGAAGGTGTGTAATATGTTGTGTATTTTGAAAATAACTAGAACTTTGCGTGTGAACACATAAGCCAGTATTTTGTATTCATCAAAATCTAACCAAACAAGAGCGAGGAGGTTGGGGGGACCTTGAAACTATTTTGAGGATAAACAATGAAAAAACGAAGGCAAGCAATGGCAGTTGGTCCTCAGTCTGTCGAGTGATATCAACAAACATGCCCTTGATTTAAAAAAAAAAAAACGTCAATTCTGCAATGAGAAGAATGCTGAGGTTAATGACGACTTCAAAGAAGCTTCCAAGTCTGTTTAGTTAAAGAATCAGTTTAGTTTACTCAAAGCAGAACAAGAGAAATCAAAACCCGCCCGCTGAGGGGCCACATTCAGCTCTAAACATGGATTTGAACATGCAGAGAAGACTGAAGTCATTGTATTTATAGTTTTGCATGCTGTACAAAATCATGATTAAAAACTAACATTTGGACCCAAAAACATGTTATAATTACAGTTGCCATTGTGATAAAGTTAATAGTGTTTCAACTTTTATGAGCAGAACAACCAACTACGAACCTAAACATTTGAATCAAAGTCACATTAGTGAAGTTCTGTGGAAATCAAGTGTCCCGAATGCATGAGACTCAGAATGCTGGTTTGGATGCACCTGGTGTCACTCAGCCATAGTTTGCTGTTATTTGTGTGTTGTTCTAATGGTTGTGTTGTGAAGGTACAACATCATCTACATGACCCTAGACAGTACAGAACAGACAGTGATGTTGATATAGAATATTGTATAACTCAAAACATTCGCTCAGTCAGCATGCACAGAAATAAAGACAAAATAATAATAATAATAATAACAACTGTAGTCACCAGAGTGCACTGGTTTAGGTATGATTCTATCGACACAAATATAGTTTCAGAAAGTTCACAAAAATCTACAGCAATGTGAAATATCAATATGATATATTTTCTGTAATTCACCATTTTGTAAACTTTTATACAATGCGTAACACGACTTCTAAGACAAGCAAATGACTTTGGTGTTTTGTAGCTACAGGCTCAATAAAAAAAGAAAATGTCCAAATATATTTTTCACCAAAAAGTTGGATTTCATTCCTGTACTTCAAACTCATGTTCAAAGTGGTCTTCTTCCCCAAAGAGTAAGAATCTTTTCAGACCACCCACGAAGGAAAGACACAGGAACAACGTTACATTTATGTATCATAAGAACTTTAATTTGAGTAGCTATAAAGTGAAATATAAACCCCAAAATATACTGTACTGTATGTGATGGCACTGATAAGAAAAGTCTCTGTATAGATGTAAACTAACCTGCAGGCTTATTTGCTCGAAATGTTGCTTTCACATTTAATTTTTACAGACGTACACAGAATGTTTCAAAAAACTATCATAACAAAGCAGTACAACAAAGGCTTGGCACTTGCTACAGCTCTGCCCAAGTCTATGAAAATTCTTGATCGCTTGAGAATGTGGAGAATGTGCAGTGCATTCCAGTTTCTGAACTAGTCCTCCCCAGTTGACAGGCATGTCCACTAATGATAGAAACAATGGCTTATGGGCAAGGCTCTGTCTGTGCTTCCTTCAGAAAAATATGGAAAGCCGATTTTAAAGAAGGAAAAAAAAATAAAACATGACTCTCGAAGGATGTGTCCTTGATCCGTTGTTTTGTTTGTCCACTCTTCTTCGCCGCTCTTTCATTTGTTTCCCATGCTGTCGTGAGACAAAACGCTCAAGGCAATTTCACCACCACCACGCAGGCGCCTGCCCTGCCAATGTTGAGAGGGACCTCCTACAGGATGACAGAGGGGTTAACATGCAGCCTCTCATCTGAGGCTCTCTTCAAAAGGAATCTCATTCTACTTCATGCAGATAAGAGGGCTACAGAGGCAAGCTAGAAAAAACATAGCAAGCTATAAAATATTGATAGCATTCAGAGACTTCAGCAGATTTATCCTCCCAAAGCGTGTTAACTGGAACCCTGATGTTATATGTAACCAGTTCTGGCAAAATAAAAGCTACAATTTAATTGAACAGTTTTAACCATTTTCAATTTTCAAGTTCCATATTTTTATTTATATCCAAAACAATAATAAGAGTTGTGTAACTGTGATAAATGATTAGTTACCTCAGTCCACTCATTGTTCTGCGCATCGTAGGACTCGACAGTGTTCAGATATGTCTGGCCATCGTATCCACCTACAGCATAAAGCCTGTCACCCAGCAGGCAAACACCCACTGCGTCCCGGGGAACACTGAGGGAGGACACTGTGGTCCATGTGTCCGTCTTTGGGTCATACCTGTAATACAATGTTTCGAATGTTTATTGCATTAGGGATTTTATAGTTAAAACAAATTTAAATTATCCAATCAACATGAATCTCAAGAGGAAACCCGTGTCCCATCCCCACTTAATGAGAAACCCTGACGTCCCCCCTCTTTAATCACAGATGTCTGCATGGTTAACTTCTTTCAGCACACACAGAGAGCCAGATTGAAACTAAAAGCAAAAATTGTTTCTTGGACAGCAGCTGGCGGCTGCTGGGTCCACCGAGAGCTGGACTCAAGAGTGAAGGAAGATGAATGCTGAATGTCGTTTTCACCATGTTGCCGCTAAAAATGAGGACAAAGAAGACACCCTTCATGATTTTCTTTCAGTGATTTCTGGATAATGAAGTCATTTAAATGTTCATAAATGCCTTGCTGAAAGTTGATAGTATCAAAGTTTAAAGCTTTTTATCAGTTTCAAGCAAATCAGTTTATAGTTTGTAAAATAGTTCAAAAATATGAATTTGAAAGCTAAAAAATATTGTCTGATATTAGAGACTGCTACATTAAAATAATAAAATAATAAAATGCTGAATTTAAATGACTCAAAATGCTTTCCAATGAGTAAAATCACTGTTTTAAAGATCCCTTTATTACTGCCTCATTGATTAAATGCTGAAGGATAACTACTATTATTTGAAAACTAATTATTTAAGTAAATGGGTGTGTGAATAAAATGTCAAATGGTGGTAAAATACAAAGCAAGAAGGTATTCTGAGCAGTGACTTATTACTGGAGATGCTCTACTGTGAGTCAGATATAGGATATGACGGCCACCAGATGGTGCCAGATATTATGAAATAGAAAACATCTGTGGAAACTATGATCTCTTCAATTGAGTGTTGTGGTATAATACAGACATGTCTCAAAAGGCAGGAACAGGGTGGGGATCATGAGTTTGTCTCCCTTTTGTTCTTACAGCCTCATCCCCACCCATGTCTGAATTCAACTGCAATCCAGAAGCGCTAAACATTTCCGTGCTTGTGTGTTTTATCCAGAGAAGAGGCTTTTACCGACCTTTCAACACAATCGGAGAGTCTAGAACAGTGGTTGGAAGCTGGCGCGTCGTGGCCGCCTACAGCATACAGGAAGTTGTTGTACGTCGCCACACCCACTCCTCCTCGCCTCTTGGCCATGGGAGTACACATGCTCCACTTGTTGGTGTGCGGATCGAAGCACTCCATTGACCTCAGACATGAGCTGCCGTCTCGACCGCCGACTGCAAACAATCTGAGAAATTAAATAAACTGGGTTCAAAATCTCTAACATCTGACATGTACGTACATACAGTGCTAGTGGAGCTGGAGGGAGTATAGCTCACATCAGATAGTTGTAAAAGATTATGATAGAACAGTGATGATGTGACAGATTTTCAATATACATCAGTGTGGATGGCATTTTTTTAAAGGCCCGTACCTTGTGAGTGTTCTCTCCCAGAAAAATCACACCAGTATTTTAAGTGCTTGTAGCTCACAGGCCCGACAGAAAGTAGAGACAAGGGAAACACTTTCCTTCTTGACCTAGATGCAGAAATAACTCTGCATTGACTTTAACACTGAATACTGGATGTAGCCGAGCAGCAAGCTTGTTCTTCCTTCGGCACACAAACCTATTTAAATGAGGCTGTGAGCCAGTCGGTTCTTTGCTTAATTTACTATTAAATAGTGTTGTTAGGCATTTAATACATACAAATATACAAAGTGTTTTGCTTTTATAGAGTCTTGACTACCCTGAATAAATTACCACACTGATCAGAACAGCCTTTGCTGTGAGCTGCTAACTACTGCAGCCACCGTGTAGTTTATCTCACACAGACCACAAAGGTTGATGCTGCATTCAAGAAGTACAATGTTGTCAAACTATTACTGCACCAATGCTGCACTTCAGCTTTACCTTGACTTGTGCACTCTGAATTACATCATACCTGTGTTACTGCATGCTCTATTCCAAGTTGCATATTGCATTAGTTCTGTTCATTATTCAAAGCAAATTTTCGAATTTTTCACGTTTGTCCAGTTCAGTCGGCAAATACATTTTTTTAGAATAAACCTAATCACTACTTTATTTTGTTTTTGTTAAAATCACATAGTCTTTGCATGACGACCACAGATGGCTTATCTTAATTAAAGCAGACATGATGGTTGTGCTTCAATTTCAGGTCAAACTATGTGATTTAGATTTTGCTAAAACATGCATAACAATGTCTGTAGGTTTGATAAAGCAACTTACTTTCCATTGAGCGCTGTGACTCCCATGGTGCTCCGTGGTGTTGACATACTCGCCACATAGTTCCACTGTCTGGCCTGCGGGTCCCAGCGTTCCACTGTGTTGAGGTAGCTCCAGCCGTCGTGGCCTCCCACAGCATACATTGGGCCCTCCAGCACAGCAATACCTACACAAATGGGAACAATAGATTTGAGTTATTGGCAGTAATGGGATATATTAATCCATCATTAGTTTATAATCACCTTCAACTAAGAATTATGTTTCCACTAGCTTAGAATGAGCCCTCATATTTACATAGGGAGCATGTCCTCTTCACTGCTATGTTGCACTGCCATGTTTCTACAGTAGCTTAGGACGGACAGACCAAACACTGTGGCTATAAGAGGGCCTCTTGCGTTTTAGGTGACCTGAAGGCAACCATAGTTCCCCAATGCATGGAAAGGGAGGAGGTGAGCAGAGGGGTGTTCATTTGGATGCAATCTGCAAGCACACGGCTAGATTTCACTAATCCTACACACTGCTCCTTTAGATTATCTCTGTTGAATCTGCCCGTCTCAGAGTCTGCATTATGGGTCATTCCCGGCTGTTCAGCTCCCTTGTGCTTCATACTTGTGTATTAATATGTGAATTTGTTTAAGTTGATCATGAACAATCAATGAAATTGAATGACATTTCCAAATCAAAGCCTTGTTTTCTTGAACCAGTTCTTAGAGAGAGCTGATGCAGAGGTATGTTTTTCATTTTAGAGCTGGGCAGGGTGAGTCATATAGCTAACCGAATCTATTCAGAAAACAGGAAGACTGTAAAACTGCGTTGTTATTCCTCATTCTCAAGTCACAGAGGAAAGCAGTTTTCCCCAGCAACATAGCAGAGGATGTTTCAACACAATGGATTTTTATATTACCGCCCTTATTTCCTTTGGTGAGAGTTCAATTATTTGGAGGGAGCATGAGGGCAAGACCGCATTCAGAGACCCTCGAATGACATAAACACTGTGCAACAGAAACAATTCTCATAGGGAGACTTCCTTTTATTACCGACTGGTGGCTTTGGAATAAAGAAATGCTTTTTTTTCTTGTCTTCACCCCTAATGCACACAGCAGGAAATGGTTGGCCACGGGTGTTGATAGACACTAAGCTCAAATATATTCACATTCAAAATATGCACGCCACAGCAGCAAGAGATATTTGCTACGGGAAAGATCAAAGACAACACAGGTAATCTGTACAGTGTGATCTCCTGAGCAGGCTGATACCTCTGACCACGCTGGGTGAGCGAGCTGAATGCTTTGACAAGATCTCCCTGTTCTGTTACCCAGACCTGTTTCAACTGTGAATCAAAACGCTTCTGATATGAGATTTATTGGGCAGGGAAGGGTAAGGAAGCGCAGGGCCGAGCACCACCTGCCAAGCTTTGATAGGAGAATGGGAAAATATCAAAGGTCTATCTCAAAAGAAATGTTTGATTTCTTTTTTTCCAGCACTCCAGCTGTTACCTTCCTGAGCATGCATCCTGCAGTTTTTGGTGTTTCATAACACCAGGTAGCCTGAACGAGCTAGAACCTCAAACCTTGAAATAGTTGTAAGAATTGTGTTTTCACACATTCACTGGAAACATGATAACAAAGGTGGAAGGAATTTAGTGTTTCCCATTAATTACCTAGGCTGTGGCAGCCTAATTTGTCCCGCCACAGTTTCATAATGAATCAAAAATATTTTTACACTGCTCCACGGATGGGCTGTCTGCCCCTCTTTTGGTGCATTTAACAAGTTTCCCCCTGGGGATGAATAAAGTATACATCTATCTATCTATCTATCTATTTCTTCCGCAGCTATGTGCAGCGACCAGCTCTATTTCACCACGAAAAGTGAAAGTAGCTGGCCGCACTGGCCAGGTCGGCTTTAAAGCAACCCTCGTCTGGACTTTGTTGCTTCCGGGGGCCATGAACTTAGTGCTCGCTGTGTCCTCATTTCCTGCGGCGCAACTGTTAACCAGGGCGGACTGCCTAGACTGCACAATCTGCGGCGATGCCGGTACCCCACGCACTCCATCTTGAAACACGACACCTGTCTCATTTACCATGCTTAGTGGGGGTGACTTTCTTGCTCTCATCGCATTCATATTCTTACAACCAATGTGTTTATGATTCAAATATTTACTAGAACACAGAGTACATTATACTCTGTTACAAGTAAAAGTCCTGCATTCAAAATGTTACTTTAAAATGCCTATATCATTAGATTATAATTGTTGATGTATTAATGTGTTTATACTTAGTAACTAGGCTATATACTAAATAATACATCATAGTTTATAAGCTGGTTTATATATTTTTTTTATTAAGAATCTGAATCTGCAAACTAGCCTAAATAATGTAGTGAAGTTAAATGTACAATATTTCCCTCTAAGATGTGGTGGACTAGTAAAACAAAGGACAGAAATACTCAAGTACAGCACAAGTACCTCAAAATTGTACTGAAGTACAGTACTTGACTAGCCTAATTGTGCTTTGTTACATTTCAGTATTGTTTGAAAAAGAGCACAAAATAGTTTACAACAGCAATAAATTCATATATATATGAATAAGAGCACCAGACTGATGCCTTTAACCTTAAAATGTACATAATTTTCTTCCAGGGGAGCTTGCCTCCCGGAACCCTCAAGAGGGTCTGAAGTCCACAAAATCCTGTGAGAAGCACTAATTTAACTAAAATATTTAAAAAAATAAACAAAATCTCAAATATGAACAAAGATACTTTGAAGTAGTTTTCTTGATGACATGTAGATCTGAAAAAAGCATAATTGATTAATCAACGAATAAGTCATTGATCATTCAAATTATCAAATAAAAACACTAAATATCCACCGGTTCCAGTTTCTCAAATGAGAAGATTTCACACATAACAGTAAACAAAATATCTTTGGGTTTTAGACTGTAGCATGGATAAAACAAGCAATTTGAATCCATCAGATTGAGCTCTGCAAAATGTCCTTGAATGTTTTGTCATTATTTTGTAACACTATATTGACCCTACTATTAATCAGTAAATCGTGAAAATAATTGGGAGATTAACTGATTGTTAGTTGCAATCCTATTGACATATTCGTCCTCGTTCACCACATTTCCTTTCTGTAATTATTATATTATCTATCAGTGTGGTATTTTCTTTTTAGTGAAATAAGTGGAGCTCACGAGACACACTCACCAAGGCCATGCCTGTGTGTTGACATGGGAGGCATAGTAGACCACACTTTATTGATCGGATTGTAACACTCCACCATGTTGGATGTCTTGAGTCCATCTCTCCCTCCGACCACATAGAGCTTGTTGTCTATAACTGCGACACCAAACTGCAGCCTGCGTCCGTTCATGGCTCCAACCTGGACCCAAGTGTTAGTCCGCAGGTCGTACTTCTCTAGAGTGGTGGATCCTAAAACCACACACAGACACAAGTGTTACATTTTCAATATACTGTCTTGCTGTTAAGGAATAACCACTGCGTATATGCGCGTGGGCCATACCTTTGGTAGCATCCATCCCTCCTACAGCATAAAGTGCGCCCACAGTAGACTTTCTAGGTTTGGTTCTTGGGCTCTGAAACATGGGACGTCTCTCAGGCAGAAGATGGTACTTCATGGCCTCCATCAGCAGCTTTTGGCATTCCAGATCATCGGAGAACATCTTGTTGTTTTCCAGATCGGCAAGGAGCTACATTTCAAGAGATCACTTTTAATAGGCTGCATTGTAAGAAATAATGTATTAAAGATATAATGTGTAGAAAAAGGGCCACATGTTTATACAAATCACCATTAAAGACATTTACTGAAATACCTGTTAATCTAAAGCCAGGTTAGTCTCATGTAGATTTACTTTTTATATGATTAAGCTTAAATAAAATACAAACACACTGTGTAGATAAATACTGTAGATCTTCAGATGTGGTGACAGCAATTCTTTAATCATATGGTTTATTTTAAGTGCCATTTGTAGCCACAGTAGTCATATTTTGTATCTGTTTAGAAAGTATCTCACCAATTATTTTGGAAAATAGCCACATAAACATCGTTCCGAGCCTCACACTACAGATTGAAGTAGTAGCTTTTAAAAGAGAGCATGTTTTCAATATTTCACCACACATTTTATTTTCATGAATTAAGTTTTTTTTGTTTTTTTTTACTAGTCATCTTGGTATATGTCACTGCTCAACTTTTTTGTTTTTTTTGTTTTTTTTTGTTTGCAGACAGCAATGTTGTACGTAGTTTTTTATCCTGCATCTATTCACCTAATATTAAGTGAAAAATAAAGCACATGTGAACAAAATTAGTTTAAAAAAAAACTGTCCGTGAAAATTAAGCTGGCATAAAGAAGGGCGATATGTTCATACTTCAGATCTGTCAAAAATTCCTATCTGGACTTGATGTTATGTAAATTAGGCAGAGATGACACAGTTGTAAAACAATGCTTACTCTCAGAAATACAGCATTCATAAAACATGAGTTGCAGTGCAGTGTTTAAAATAATAATAATTCAAACATAAGCAAGCATAGTCTGACAATGCATATAAAAAGTCATGTGTATCTGTCATGCCAATTTGATTTATCACTCAGAGGGGAGATTTTTCTTCCTCAGCCACTAACATAAACAAAGGAATTATTGACAATGCAGTAGTTCATTGCCTTTCAGTGGTCAATTGGAAGACTGAGGGTCGGTGGTTCTCTTGCAGTAAATGTATGGTGCTTAAAGCTGAAACAAGTTGTCGATTCATAAAATGCTAAATATTCCTTATCATCTCCAGGACTCCAGGAATGGCTGCTTTCATTTTGCTTTATGATAGTAAACTGAACATCTGAATATCTTTAGACTATTACTACGACAAAACAAGGCATTTGAATATTTTATGTCAGGCTCTGAAAGTTATTATTACCATTTCCTGACATGTCATAGACAAAACGTCTGAAAGCCTGTAAAACTATTAAGAATACATTTGTAAAAAAAGTGTATTATAAATCCAAAATCTGACCCGGGGTACGTACAGTAGAAAAGGTCATAGATTACGCCTTCTGTCACAGTAAGCCGTCAGTTTAGTTGACAGCTACAAACTCGAGCAAAAGCACAGTATATGATCCTGATCATACCTTTTTCTTACCATCTCTACCCCCTCACCCGCTATCTCACCTGTGGAGGAAGAAGAGGCAGGCGGATCAAGGCGAGAAGCACCCCAAGGTCCTGTTGTCGATGCTGGACGTCGTACCGCACCCACATCATCAAAGCCTGGAAGATGGTCTCCTCATCGGGGACGTTGATTTCATCGCTCGAAAGCAGCTTAACAATCTCAGCCGTGGGGAGCAGCAAGAACTCCTGGTTCTGAATGACCTCCAGGAAGTGTTCCTGGAACGCAGAGGAGACGGGTAGGAGGCAGATAAGCATCAGTCATTAGCCGAGGAGTACGCTTGGTGCAGCGTTGCGTGTGTGTGTGTGTGTGGCTGTGTTTCTGTAGGACAGAGAGGTGAAGAAAAATGAGTGCAAATAGATAGAGAACGCCAATTTAGAGGTCTCTATTGACAATTTATTATATAACTGATGGTGAAATACTCTCTCACACATTTTGACACATATCTTAACATCCATGCAACAGCAGGCTACAAATCAATCTGGCATAAAGCGTCTGCAAAAAAAGCCTCTACATAAGCTCATACAACATTTTTGCTGCTGATTGTACATGACACCGTTAAACCAAAATTAGATGCTTAATGAGAAACAAAAGCACTGCACACCAACATTACCATCACACCAATACAGTGTCCAGCTCTAAGTTTTTGTGGGAGCTGTTCTCTATTGCCTTTCTTAAGATTGATCTTCCATTTGCTGGCCAGAAGCCGAGACGATATTACTGCGCTGCATGGCTACCTCTTCAAGGACATTGTCTCTGGGCAGTTCCATTAGAGATGATGCTATATAAAACAACCTCCTGCCTCTGCAGTATGTTATATTCAACATTAAAACACATGAGAGACATACGGAGCAATCCTCTGCCATAATCAGGCCGATTCCTTCTTCAAAAAGGCAGCCGAGCATTAATTGTTAAGCTGCTTTAATAACTGAGACTGGATGCTCAACAATTAAGAAAAACAAGCAGGCTATTGATCATTAACTTGCAACAAATTACAGAGTCTCTGTCCAATCCATTATGAGAGTGTCTTTTTTCAGAGCTCAACAGAGACAGCCCTAATGAAATGAGGGACATCTATTGATCTGTTGTGGTAACACTGAGGGAGAAAAGCCATCCAACTCTTTTACGTTGCTTTAAACCAATTATTTGTAATTACCAGTGCCTAACAGCTGACAACAAAATTGAAAGCTCAACCGAGTTTATTTCATAAACATTTAAAGGGATGTGTTTTTAGATGCTGGCAAACTCATTGGTGGGTAAACTGCTTGGAAAACAAGATCAGCGGGAGAGGATACTAATTGATTTAACTACTGCAAAAGAGTAATTGCGTAATAATAGTGTTTTCTGAGGCGGAGGAACGTCGATGTTTAATGGGAGTGAGGGCTGGGAGAATTACTCTTTAAGAACATGTTGATTACCATGCAATTTGCAGAGGCTGGCAAAGACAGATTGCTATATTTTGCAATTTTTTCGAAATTTGGATTCATTCAAATACACAAATTCTGTAGTATTAATTATTATTTCTGAGTGTGCACCTCTGTGTCTGTCCACGCCTAATCTCGCATTCTGTTGCAGCAAACTGCATAACATTTTGGATGGTCAGCTATGAATGAATGCTCCTCTCGTTGTTTCTCAAAACACCTTTTACAGCCTGTTTTATACTACCATTGACTGCTCGATGACTTCTCACTCACTACTCTTAACAGGCCCCGCCCGGTAGGGGCCACAAGCGATAATACAGCTGAGTGCATCATCAAACCCCAGCCTCTAGGCATCACCCTCACGTTTGAATGCTTAATGTCAAAAAAATAGACTTGACGCTTCAAGTCTCAGTTACGACCGTGAGGCGAAGCTGAGATGCGCATCTGGACGTAGCAAGTGTGAACATCTGCAGAGATTAAAATAAGAGCGTATCTGTTTTGTGATACGTGTGAGTGCAAAAGACGTCTGATACACTTGCGGTCCAGACTGGGGGGTTAGCCAATTAGCCAATTGTGGGTTGCATTCATTCATTACAGCAGCGGCCGTTGCAGACTCACCTGGCAGCAGATATGTAACTGAAATATAGTTTTATTGCTGGAAAGAAAAACTGTCATCCCAAACAATATAACAATACATTTTTTCAACGACTGCAATGAAAGAGGGCAACTCTTTCATAAAGGAAAAGGATGTTGGGGCGGATCTCAGCAGCCTTGCTCTAACAGGAAAAACAAGCTTATCAAAACACAACTTGCTCCACTCACAAACCAGATGACGGACTTCGCGGAAGCCCACAGCTCTCGCTGCTCATTACTGAGGCAATTGAACAGGAAGTTGAACCTCTTGTGCAGTCTGATGATTAGATTAACCTCCTGGTCCTGGATGGGGCCTATGTAAACAGACTGAGCAGATGTCCTCTAGGAGATAACGCCTGCCTCATGCTGTCACTTCTGCGTGGCCAAACAAGACGTTATCTGACAAATATGTCCATGAATCTTAATCAAATGCAAATATTCCTTGCAGAAATATATAGCAGCCACATTTTCACAATTCTGGCAGTGCACTAATCAATATGAAGCAACGTGGTATCTCTTAGTAACAGCCACGAAACCAAATTAGATGAAGTAAGAGCATGAAACTTTTCAATTTCTATTCAAATGTGGACGTCACCCATGTCTCTGCTGAAATTAGATGATATAAATAACCAAGACACCGACAGTTTACGCCTTTACAGGTTATGACAGGTTATTTTAATTAGTCTCCAGAGGACAGCCATACATATTTCAATGTGTTATGTACAGTATACCAAGTGTTATACTATATATGTATATATATATATATACAATATTGTTTAATATATATTACATACATATATACACATATATACGTATATATTGATATACATACATATATACAGTATATATATACAAAACTACATATATATATATATGTATACATACATATATATATATATAGTATACTGCATTCACAAAACATTGGTTATTACACGTTATATTGAAAATACATATATATATGTATACATATATCTATATATTACACTGCATTCACAAAACATTGGTTATTACACGTTATATTGAAAATACAAATCAGATGTGCACTGAAAGAAAGGCTTTGATTATGTGCAGCAGACTAAATTTGATTCACTGTAGTGTAGGCTGCCTCTCAGTACATATAGTGTTAATTAAACCACATTTTAAAATACTCTTGTTACTGTTTCATTAGCACAGCTCCCTGTGTGTAATCATGCAATGAAGAGTCACTTTGAGAGTGTGATCTCTTCCTTCAAAATAAATAATTTAGCCCACCCCAGCCATGTAAATGTGGTAAAGCGCTAATCGCCCTCCTACCATGGTGTAGTTATGAGCCACATTGAGCAGGTCCACGCAGCCTTGGGCGTCTGCAAAGGAGCGTATTCCCAGGCAATTGGAAGGATGCAGCTGTTTCATCAAGAAGTTACAGCAAACCTGGATGACTTGTGAAAGCTGGAGGAGGCAAGCTGCCGCCAATAAACTCTCAATGGTCTCCTCTTTCAGCTCAAGGACGCCTGCAATGTCAGGACAAGCAAAACACATTTTTATGTCACGACTGGATGTAACCATAATGGTAAATACAGTCGCAGGAGAAGTATTGCAATCAAACAAACTGGATAATCATCATTATATAATTTGACCCCATTTTACAATTTCAATACTGTTGATATGGATTTTCCCAATGTTTCTCCAAATGGATTTGTCTTGTAGAATAAAGCAACGCTAAGTTTAAGTGTTGACCAGTCAGTCAGCCCAGTGATGAACTGCCTTATTGATCCATTTTAATCATGCTGGATTTCAGAAGTCTCATAACTACTAACAAGAGCTAGTGAATGTCTTTACGAGCACTCACCGGTGTAGGCAAAATGAACCAGGGATCTGAGGGCCTCTGGATCGACTCCCTCCATTTTGATCTCCTCCTGCTTTGCCTCTCTCACGTCGCTGGTGAACATAGCAGCAAAGTAGTCCGACACGGCACTCAGGACCAGTCTGCCGTAAAGAAAACGCAGTGGATTAATGCTCTTGTACCGCACATGAGTTTGCATGCATGCATCATTCCACTTGTGTATGATAAATGAAATTACCCCACATACTCCATGTTGTTAATAGCTGCACTGGTCAGACTTCTAATTTTGTTAGCTCATTTGTCTAGCTCTCATAACACGCGTTGATTCAGGGAGAGATCATATGACAACACAAGGAATTGAGATCAAGTGACACAGTCCAATAGTCTGATCCCATATTTCCATAATGTTGTGGTTTCTAATAATAAATATATATATATATATACTTATTATATCATGTTTAATTTATTTTGTCATACCGTCCCTGCTTTACTTGGTTGTGTCCTATGAACAAATACAAAGCCACATTAAAACAGGCCGTCAGAGAGCTGATTTCTACAACTAGGTCAGTCACTGATACTCCTTTCTCTCTCTGTGGAGAATTCTGGTTTCTGTTTTGTGAATCTATTTGGATGAACTAACAAAATATGCTGGCAGGCAGACATACACAAGCACATGCACTCGGTGAACGTGATGCAATGAACGTGATGCCTCTCTGCATTCAGGAGATTTGATCTCATGCCACTCAACCGAGGGCTGGATGCCCAAATATTGACACCTCCATGTATTGGATCGCCGTGCTCTTCCACTTCACAAATGTAATGTGGAAATGAGGAAGGGCAGAGGTGTGTAATTAGATCACAGCAATGTGCATTATTTAGATGCAAACCAGGGAACATGGAGTTTGCATATCTTTCCTGTCACCTGAAAATCAGAAAAATCTTGCTTTGAATTTTAAAGATTATTTGATTATTCGTCAGATGGATTGAGACTGACGAAATGTATTTAAGAATGCGAACTGTGGTCAAGACCAACGCCTGAACGCTTGCATCAACAACTTAATGAAATGAATCCAGATGAGCTTCTGTATCTCTTAAATCAAACCGATGCAGGTGTGATTAATGAAATCAAAGAGGACACAAATACCAACCTGTGAGCGGGTATCTTATGATCCCCTGCTATCAAGAGGACATCACACAGCTGCTTGTGCTGGAGGTAGGTCTCCATCTTACGGAAAGTCTGTTCTGCATGATTTGTGGCCTGGAAAAACTCATCAGAGGAGTTGGTGGTCATTCTGGAGAAGGTGCTCAGAGCCAACCTGTGGAAGAGAGAGGAGATGTATAGACAAAAGCAATAGACCCTGTCTGTATGTCTACAGCATCTTTACATTCTGTGCGTCGTGTCCATTTAATTGGAATACTTCTGCACTTTCTGAACATTTGGTCATTGTACCAGGAGCCATTTAGAACATTGCATGAAGTCTTCTCTAAATAACCAGAGAAGGTTTTGTTGCGTTAACCTTTGGCCATTGTTTGTTTTGGACATTGCCATGTGTAGGAAATAGTAAACTGTAACCATAGCTTCACTTGATGGGGACTCAGGCAAAAAACAATAACAACAACAACAACATTGGACCCTTCAGGTGAAATTAACAGACAGTTTATTTAGGGAGACTAATTCATTAAGCTAATTAATACATTTTACCCTCTGTTTCCTCTCCCTGCCCACTATCATAATTATGAAATAATAAAAATAAAATTGAAAAGCTGGACAGAGCAAGATAAGAAACAAATGATTGAGGACACAAAAGAGCTTATTCGGGCACATGGCACTCCTGAATCCTCTATTCCCTGCGGTGTAACTGCATCTTTCTTGCCGCTCTAAGCTGAAATTAAAACTATTATGGACTAAACTCCACACATAAGTCGATAACTAAGAGATGCAGTCTTATGGGACAAGCAAGCACCACAATCTATGCAACAGCTTTCCAGACAGAATTGAATGTCTGTATGTGTGTATGCCTTTGTGTCTGTTCCTGTGCGCATCTGCATATCTGTGTGCGCACGTGGGTTTTCCAAAGACAGGGACTTAACAAGTGAACAAGCCTGTTCCTTGCAGCGTTGTGGCGAGGCTGAGTCCCTGTCCCCACGGGCTGCTAGATTACATGCTGTTCTACAGGCACCCGAGTAATCCCTCAGACTCGTGGCAAATAATGCAGCCCAGACATTTTGGTGTCCTTCACAGAGAAAGTCCACTAATTGACATTTAGGGTTGTTTGTTACGCTACACAAACAGACCCAAGCCGCCTCTCAGAGGGAATTTACTATCATCTCACGGTCCTGCGGCTGTGTAAAGACTGATTCTGCTCAAGAAGAAAAAGTCACTGCTCTTTAAATTGACACTTTATGTCCCCACTCATTACCAGTCATACTGATATGAGAGCTGCATAAACTAGTAAAAGTTACAGATTCATCAATCCAAACGAACTGAAAACCCTGTCATGCTTGGCAACACAATGTACTGGCGCATACCAATATTGATAACACAGGAGGGATGGAGGTGGTGATGGCTCTCATCGATGTCCTGACTAACACACTATTGTAAAGTTTTTAGCAAAGTGTTTGACTTTCTCCTCTTTGATTACCAAAAGCAACAACATTTTCCCCCTGGGAATTGTTTATATCGCCCTCCAGTCAGTGCAGTATATACTGCTGTAGTCTAATCTTTATGGGGAGACTTTATGCTAAATGCGAGAGTAATTTATTGCCCTGTCACGATTATTCCCCACTGACTCTGGAGTCTTGGAGAGGAACACCAAACAAGACTGAATAAGCAATAGGGCCTTAAAACTGAGATGCATTGCCTTTGTATTGGCTCCAAGGCATGCTGTAAGGATTTTTCATGCCTACCAATCTCTCCGACACTAATTGCTTTGGTATCACATTCTGGGGAGCAGTAAATTTCTCTGTGGGGTATATTTCGCTTTCAGTAGAGGGTTGAATCATCAGAGGTATAGCCCAATTTTATTGAGGCACTAAAGCCCCAGAACACCTTGCTCCAGAGAAACTGCTGTAGGGACATTGCTGTACATCGCATATTACTAAGCAATTCAAAGAGAGTCACAGACTCTAACATGCTATAGATTTCTTTTGTGATCCTTCAAACTGTTTCAATGAACTTACTTGCAATCCTAGAACGAGGAGGTAAATTCGCCTATACAAATGAATACAATCCCAATTTATCGTACAGTGCACATGTATTTATTTCAGTGAGCAAAGTCTTTTCATTTGATCCTCACACCTTCCCAAAGACATCACAACAATGTGAATAATTGAATCTGAGAAAAGAACTGCATATTTAAAAACTCTAAGATATTCAGGTAAATCAGAAACAGTGGTTAGGAGCCTGTTTTAAGGCTGTGCAATGGAATCTTCATATGCTATATTTTAAGCACAAAATACAGTGCTAATACAAAAAAGACACTCATTGACAATAATACAGAGGAGTTTTTTTAGAATATTAAAATGACATGTTCAATATCCCTTCCGTCCACTGTAATCAGTCTGACTTCTCACTGTGATGAAACTACCCTTCTAAATGAATGGTCGGATGATTCAAGATGTGCTTTCATCAGCCAGGATTAGCCCCTAGCTGTAAAGGTTATGAGTCAGACATGTTGCTGAGTATCTCAGTATTATTCCAACTAGTGTCAACTCCATCCCTCTACAAATGGGAAAATCGTTCCTGCCCGGCCCAAATGGGATATGTCTCTTTCAAAATGGATTATAACCGCCATTTGCCCCAGAAGGCTGCTGAGTAGCTTGGGTTGGGTTGAGAATCCAACAACTCCTACAAAGCCTCATGCGGCATGTGCCAAGTCTATATATTCCATGAGATCTTTATGCCTCATGTGCTTTGACAATCGGTATTGCTGTCATTCAGCTTTGTAGAGAGAAATATATACACTGACTGTAATAACTTGATCCCAGCAGTGAGGCTGGGATGATAACTCTGTGCAGAAATAGATTTTCCTCTCTGCTCTTTACTATCTCACCAAGGCTTTGCAGCAGACATTCTTCTTCTGATACCATTGTTATGCCGGACATACTTAATATTGATAATGATGGATGAAATGGAGCTGCATACGGGAACCATGTCTTTTGAAATCTGCTCTGAATGTGGCCAGCTGGCCCTTTATGCTAGAGTGCAGTCGAAAATTGTCACATACAGAAATTAAATATTGCTTCCTTATAACTTTTCCAAAGCCGAGCACCTTGTAAAGACGAAGTGATGGTGTAAAAGTCATGTCAGCAGAATGTCTCTGAACAGCTAATGAACATCTCAGGTGGCATACCAATTCCTGTTTTGAATATTAAGAAACTGCATCCAGAGGAGAAATCATGCACAGTGAAAATGAAAAACCAGCAGTTGAAATATCTGTTCGTTTAATAATGAAATTCTCCATAACTGACTTGCACACTTAAGTGAAATATCTGCTTGGAGCCACTGAGGAATAATGTGCCAGGAGATGAATGAATTTCAAAATAACGATTCAATTTTTCCTGTTGTTACGCATAGCATATTAATACTGGAATTGCCTTGAAAATGGTACAAATATGGCACATTTTAATGGTATTGACATGGTAAATCTTAATTCCATATTGCTATTTTTTGGTCCTTGTCCATAGATTGACTGTGATTACAATGCTGAGCTCTGCATTGTAATGCTGATGAATTTAGTGTAAATTGTGTGTGTGTGTGTGTGTGTGTGTGTGTGTGTGTGTGTTGGGGGGCGACATGTAAGTGAAAAATGTGCAGATCTTAGCAGAAAGCTCCTCAATGCTTTGCTGATGGCAGGTTAACTCGCATAGTGTATGAAACTGTCATTGTTGGATTGTCCGTAATTTATCTGCATCTAATCTTAGTGGGTAAACAAATGAATCCACATTATTACAGCAGTGGGTCCTGGGTGGATTTCTGTATATTAGATATTTATAGATCTAGATCTTTAGATCCTTTGTGCATTTGGGCTTAAACCTTTAGACTTTAACCTATTGCATTAGATATGTATGTTATTTGGGGATACCCTAAAACAGGGTAAATTAGTTAAATTAGTTATTTTTTTGTTGTCTATACGATATCACATTGTCAGCTTGATTATAGTTGTCCATGCCTCTGATTATTTTTCATTGTAAATTACAGAGTGCCTCAGAAACTGTTGAATGAAGTCATGGCCCCGAGTGTCCATGTGAAATTCATAGACAGCTGTGTCGGGGATGATTTCCTTTGAATTCCATTTGGGAGGGAAATGACTGATCCACATTTGAACAAAAATGAGGAACGTGTCGAGCATATAATGCTGCTCTATCTCTGTTCACTGCCTTCTGCAAAAGCATGAGAAGGGGCTCCGGAAAACTCTAGCTTGATCTTTACCTTCCATCAGAGGTGGCCTTGTTGCGTACAGAATGCTGATTTGGCGAAGTTGAAGAATGCTCAGAATCAATTATTTGTGAAATACAAAATCCTTTACACCTCTGAGGATGTCTTTTGAGATTATAACAGATATACTGTATTTTGCAATTTACAGCCTCTTAAAGACACCTCCGCTGGATGTGTCACAACCAGACCAAGACCCTATAAGCCGTGTGGTGTTATGAGACATCCAACAAATATCTGAATTACTGCTGTTGACAGGGTGAGAGGTGGTGGTATTTCTTCTCCAAGGCAGTAGAGAGGGAATTGAGATATCATTCAAACTAACAGCCCGCTGACTCAAGCCTCTGTTAGTGTTCATGTGGGAGAGGTCAGGGTTTCCATTCCATTCAGGTTAACGTCTGTCATATATTCTCTGCCAATGATGGGGAGAGGTTATTTGGATGAGAGTCATGAGGACGCAACAAATAGATAGTATACAGATTACTCTAGAGCGAGTATAGAGAGTTAGGAGAAAAGGTGGGAAACAACATGGTATTATCTGCTACTTATTTCACTACGTTTGATTTGACAACTCTAACATAATGAGAATAATTATACCAGCATAGACCACAATATACATATATATGAGTCACTGACCTTTTAAATTATCTTCAGTACTCTATGGCATCCTGGCAGATTTTTAGAATGTGCTATAAAACTTAATTAGCTACATTAAATACAAAGAGAAATCTATTTCATTAGCTCAATGTTAATGTTTCCAAGAACATAAATACCTGTGAACCAATGTGAACATTTGCATTTATCCTTAAGCATATAAACATCAAATATCAATTCTTAAAGTCAAGCAGAATCCTAAATATATGCTCACATTGTTAGGATAAG